CTTAAATTAATCATTGATTGACATATTATTTTGAGTAATCTTTCTTTTTTGTCTCTTAACTTATAGAATCTATATATATATATATATATATATATATATATATATATATATATATATTTTACATGTGCCCCTGAATTTAATTTCTAGCTCTCTGCCCTGACTAGGTTACAGCCTTAGCGCACACCTCCATCTTTATGTAAACAGATTTCGAAAGTATTGGTAGCTTTATAACCATGCTCACCTTACACAGTATTAGTTGCATTGCAAATATTATCCAATAAAACTATCCATTGCTAATATTAACATATAGAAATTGTCCATGGACTCCTAAAATCATCTCATAACAAAAGAATGTAATTAGTGAGTTTTGTTTTTGAATGCCACAAGGTAGCCACACAACCTGGAGAAGGCGAAAATGATGTACAAGCAAGACAAATGATGTGCCTTCGGAATAAATGAAGGAATTTTAGACTAATTGCATGGAATTGGAGTGGAATTAGAGAAAATTTTGAATTTTGATTTCCAATTCTAAGGCTCCAAATCTATGCAGCCGAACATGGCCCTGGAGTTCTCACTCTTTTGCTTTTACACAAAAACTGAAGGATTTGTGATATCTTACAAATAGTAAAATTCTACAAATTATAAGCTGAAAAGTCAGAAATGGCGGTCTCTCTGATCAACCTAAAGCCCTTCTCCACAAATAGTTCACCTCACATCAATGGGGAAAAAAAATACAAAATTGTTTACTTCAAACACAATGAATATTACAAAATATCAGGTAGTATGCTACATCCGAGTAATTTATTTCATTTTGTTCTCCGTGAATGCCCAGGCAATAACCCAGCCTTCAACATGGTCTCCGAACACATGAAAAGACAGTATCACAACAAAGAATTGAGTTGCGACCAACTACTTGCAGAAGAATGCAAATGATGGTATCTTCTTTGAAACCCTAGAGATGATACTGTATAAAACAGCTGAATCCCCTGTCCCAGACAAGGGATTTGGTCGGCTCACTCCAAAACACTTGAACTTGAAAGCAAGCAAGCAAAACGATTTGTCAACTCAGCGGTAGCATCTACAATAGGGGTGGCAATTCGTGTTCGCGGGTCGTAATCGTGTCATGTCGACATAAGGGTATTCTACTAAACAGCTCAACCCGAACACGACCCGTTTAATAATCGTGTCAGGAACCCTCAACCTTAACTCGACCCGTTTATTAAACAGGTTATACATGTAACCCGTTTAATGACTTCTTTAATAAAATCAAATATTTTATTATTTAAATTATTAATAATACTCGATCAAACATTAAATACTAAAAAAATATAAATTTCAATCCAACCAAATTACTAAATAATCTATAATCTATAAAAAAAATAAATTATAAGATATAAGTTTAAATAGTTATTTTAGAATTTAACTAAAAATTTACTTATGACACGTATAGTTAAACAGATATAAACGGGTTACACGAGTTGAACCCCTCAACCCAAACACGACAGGATTAACTAAACGGATTAATCGTGTCAATCCGTTTATGACCCAAACCCTTTTATGGTCAACCCAAATCCATTTAACTCATGTCATGTTCGAGTCGTGTTGGCGGGTCGTGTCAAACTTTGCCACCCTTAATCTATAATGAGCCTTCATAGCCCATTTCACTCTGCGTTTTACTGAGAAACCGTAAATTTGCTCCTCTTGGAAAACACAATAAACAGGCTCTCGATTCAATAACTCGATTAGACCAAAGGGTAGAACAACAGTTGCATGTATATATATATATGAGCGATAATATATATACCTGGTACCAGAAATAGCGACAAATCTCCAGTTACAGGTTTCAACATTCACTCCGATTCTTCCATCCAGTATGAGAAATACAGAAGAGGTGCGAGATTAGGGAGATATACGACCTAGAGAGAATAGAGAGTGAAAGAGCGAAAAACATCTTGGATTTTCAGCCATGTTACAGAGTTGCCACTGGTTTCTTCAATGCCGGTGGTGTTGTTCCAGATTTGAAAGTGGTTTCTTGAAGCGCACTTAGGGTGTGTTTGGATAGGCAAGGGAGAAGAGAAATGAAATTATAGTATTAGTTAGGAGAGAAAAGAAATGAAATGAAATGATAGTAATAATTTTAATTCGTGTTTGGATAGATAGGGGAGAAAATAAAAGAAAGGATAATTATTCTTGTTTGGATAAATAGAGGAGAGAAAAGAAAAGAAAGGATAGAGACCAAATTACTATCTTACCCTTTCATAACCACTTCACATATTATCCATTTCCAAAATCTCACATAGGATATTTGGAATGTTTCTTTGTGATAGTTCAATGCAATGGGTAAAAACAAAAGTAAAAAAGAAAAAAGAAAAAAGAAAAAAAATAAAAATAATGATTGAAAACAAAATTAGGACATAAATGGAATAACTTTTCTTTATATTGATTTGTGGAGGGTATTTTTGGTATTAAGAATTTACAACTTATTATCCCTCCTTATCTCTCCCTATCTTCTCAAATTATGAGAGAAAGCTTATAAGAACATCTCCAATGCTAAAACCTATTTTCGTATGCCAAATCTATATTTTGATAGATGCTACAGTTCCAAAATGCTATATTTTAACAATTCTGCTCCAATGGTACATTTCACGCAAAATGCTATTTTTTAACAAAACCACTATTATTTTTCAACTACCATTCCCACCATTCATATTTACATCAGTAATATTAATATTAAACACATTCCAAGTTAAATTGTAGACATTAGAAGGAAACTAAAATTAAACCTAATTAAAAAGAAGTACAAATCTAAAATATCTTGTCAAAAAATGACCAAAAAAAAACAAATTTTTTATAATTTTTTTACCACTATTTATGAATTAATTTTTTTTTATAATTTTTTTTTTGAAAATTTATATTATATATATATATATATATATATATATATATATATATGCGAGTGGGTGATGACTGCTGAGAAATAGCACCGTTTTGGAAAATGAGAGACTTACTAATAAAATTTGGCAGCTGCCATATATGAGAAGAAATTTGAGAATCTCAAATTTTGAGAGCTCAAATAAGAGCCCATTGGAGAGGCCCTTTTTTACCCAACTCTCATATTTTGAGTTTGAAAGGCCCAAATGAGAGAGCATTGGAGTTGCTCTAACGGATAGGGAGGGATAGCTATCCCTCATTATCTCTCCCTATCCTCTCTTTCTTTCCAATTAATTTACCTAAACACACTCTCACATTATCATCTCTTTTATTTTCTCTACCTATCCCTCCAAATCAACCCTACCAAACACACCCTTAGGGTTGGGGAAGATACGAGGGTGAGGGAGTTGTATAAGATTTATATCAATGCGCTTGAGTGGGCTGGAGTTTTCTTTTAAAGTGGATTGATATTATAAACACAATTGGGTTGGGTTGAATCGAAATGGGCTTTACTTTTTAGTTAAAAGGAAAAAAGAAAGGACCTGAACTATCATATATACACACATATGTTTATATATTCACGAGCCTAATAAGGAGCAAGTTCCCGAACGTGTTCGCGAACTATCAAGCCGAGTTAAAGAGTGTTCGGGATTGGCTCGTTTATTAATCAAGCATTCAAATTTTGTTCGAGCTCGAGCCGAACTTTTAGCAAACCGAGTCCCAGAGGTTCGCGAACAGCTCAGTTCGTTTGCAGCATAGATGCGAGGGATTGATAAGGAAAGGTAAGGATTCCTTTTGGGACCATTCATCGTTTTCCCATATTGATTCAATAAAAAGTAAAGGAGTCAAAACCAAAACACAAGCTGCCCGTTCCATCTATCATATGGCAAATCGCCGACTATGACTGCCAATGAAGTGATTGGTGATCGGCAACGAGGTGGTTCTCTGATGGTCAATGGTGAAAAGGGCAATTTTGGAATTTTTAAAGAAAAAAAGCTGGTCAAAATGGATTATTAGAGGCCAATTTGCACCAAAGCAAATAATAGGGAGTTTTTTGCACCAAACAAAACAATAGGGGTTTTGTTGCACCTTTTGAATCTAAGAAGGGTATCCAAATAAATGATTATTATTTTTTAAATATCAAAAACTACCCTTTCATATATAGAAATCTCATTTCCTATATATTTTCCTAAATTAGAGAGTGCAAGCTATAGGCACTTCAAAAATATAACGGTTGAATGCAAATGAAGAAAGTTATACAAATTAGCTCCAACCATGATATTCACACTAATAATCCAGTTTAGTAGAAAGAAAGAAAATTGGATGGAAGGGAGAGAAGAAAAGATAAATTATACATTTTTAGGAAAGAGATTACACTATTTCTTCTTTGTATTTGGTTGGATGAAAGAAAAGAGAATAAGATAAATACCTTATTTTGTTTGTTAAAAGAGAAGACAAGAGAGAGTGTTAATTATAAGAAAAGTTTTTAATTTAAAAACGTTTAGAATAGTCTTGTCTTCGGTTCATATTTGGAGGAATGAAAATTTGAGAAGAAGGATGACTCATTCATCATCTTTTCTCCATATCTCCTCTCTACCAAACAAAGAAAGCTAGTCTCTTTCTTCCTATCTTCCCTCCACCCTCTTACTTCCTTCCTACCAAAGGAGCATAAATGTTCCTCATACAATTATACAAGTTTGAATATGAAGAGCCCAAACTGTGTCATGAATTGCTCATTTATAGCCCTAATCATGGCGTCATGTTGGACTAAACTAATCTACGAATCTGTAAAAAAATTATAGTTAACAATCCATACGAAAGTAATATATATCTCTGTTCCAGGTAAGAACCATTAGCATGTCAATTTAGGTGCAAAAATATAACATCTAATTCAACTAATACTCCCCTCATAACTTATATCGTATATACTGTAATGACAAATTAGTATGACGATTAGCATAGGCAACATGGAACCAGATCAAACAAGATCACAATCCATAAAAACATGGAATCACCAAAAATAAAGAAATAATGTAATAGTACCAAAAAAAAGCCAAAATTTGCCAAAATTCATACTTAGGTACAGTTTTTGACTTAAAAGTCCTAATTCGACTAGTACTCCACTTATAACTATACAAAGTTGTCTGCATAAACTTTATTTACAACTTTGAACAGAGAAGAAACTAAGTAATATTCTAATTATAGATTCGTATGAGAAATTAGCATTAGCAACATGGAACCAGATCTAACAGATCACAATCCATCGCTTTTATTTACCCCTACTCCAGCAGAACTTATGTAACATGCCCTAACAATTACCATATCAACACCAATTTCCTACAAATGCCACAGTGCCATACCAGCACATATCCAGAATTGAATTGACTATTGTATCAACATACCCTGTTGCTCAGCCATGCCATGTACAGAGTTATAGGAAAAAAAATGCAGTCGAAATCCAAAAACAACTACAATGTCAACCCCTGTTGCTCAATCATGTACAGTGTTTTTGTAGAAAAAAGAATACAGTTTTAAGACCTCTTGTTGTCCAGCAGCCAATCAGACCAAGTACACCTGCAAAATTGCAAACAGAAAAAGGGAAAAAGGAAATAAATTAGCATTGTTTCACAGTAGGTATGAACCTGCAAACGCTAATCCGTTTGTGATTGTATGTAATGTGACAGATTTCATCAAGCAAAATTTTAAGACTTTTATACTCTTGTGGACGTCCTGGTTGGAAGAAGTGATTTTGCTAAGCAAAATTTTTGTTGACCCTACGGCTTTCTCCTAAGGGTAATCTAGCACTTTTGATGATAAAAAACCATTTATAGTATTCAATGTACTAATATCTACATTGAGTTTCATGATAGATCAAAAGGAACACATTAAGAGAGAAAGATCAAGTCCACACTACAATGATCACATCAAGGACATTGAAGTTGCAATGAACCTCATTCTGAATAATTTCATCAAAGCAACTCAGAATTGATGCAAGGAAGTCTCGGAAGCCATAATGATCATCAATGCATACCAATGGGGTAGGTAGGTTGGTGAGAGTCCTAGGAATTAAAGTGTAAAGAATCAGTGAAACCATTTGAAGCTCAAAATAGGATCATGCATCACTCACACACCTTGATTCTTCATGCTATGTGAGATGCTATGCATTCATAATTTAACCGGCCTTAAGCATTGAATTACAAAAACTTGCATATTTCACCACTGAGCACGTGCAATTACTGGCATAATAAATTATTCTAGGTGGCTCCAAGAAAATTTGAAACCCTAACCCGTAGGAAGTGAGTTGAGAATCTTTCACATTAATCTTATTTTTTTATATAAAAAATATATATACATATATATTATTGAGATTTAAATTAATCAATTACGCAGCAAGTAATGCAAGTCCTAATTCTACTAATACTCCTCATAACTTATATCGTATATACTCTAATGACAGATTCCTGTGATGATTAGCATAGGGAACATGGAACCAAATCAAACAGATCACAATCCATAAAAACATGGAATCACCAAAAATAAAGAAATAATGTAATAGTGCCAAAAAAGCCAAAATTCATACTTAGGTACAATTTTTGACTTGAAAGTCCTAATTCAACTAGTACTCCACTTATAACTATACAAAGTTGTCTGCATACACTTTATTTACAGCTTTGAACAGAGAAGAAACTAAGTAATATTCTAATTATAGATTCGTATGAGAAATTAGCATTAGCAACATGGAACCAGATAACAATCCATAGCTTTTATTTAACCCTACTCCAGCAGAAATTATGTAACATGCCCTAACAATTACCATATCAACACCAATTTCCTACAAATGCCCACAGGGCCATACCAGCACATATCCAGAATTGAATTAACTATTGTATCAACATACCCTGTTGCTCAGCCATGCCATGTACAGAGTTTTAGGAAAAAAAATGCAGTCGAAATCCAAAAACAACTACGATGTCAACCCCTGTTGCTCAATCATGTACAGTGTTTTTGTAGAAAAAGGAAATACAGTTTAAGACCTCTTGTTGCCCAGCAGCCAATCAGACCAAGTACCCCTGCAAAATTGCAAACAGAAAAAGGGCAAAAGGAAATAAATTAGCATTGTTCACAGTAGATATGAACCTGCAAACACTTATCCGTTTGTGATTGTATGTAATGTGACAAATATCATCATGCAAAATTTTAAGACTTTTATACTCTTGTGGACGTCCTGGTTGAAAGAAGTGATTTTACTAAGCAAAATTTTTGAAGAGGAAATATAACTTGCATAAGCCACTGAGGACTAGTTGGACTTACTTATTAGAACATAGGTACACATAAACATTTGGAAGGGCTTGCATTAGTGAATCAGTTAAGCAAATAGCTGCAGGTAAAGTGATGATTGATAAAGTGCAAAATTTAAGTGACTACAAAACTTCAACATAAAGTATTCAAAACATTTTACATGTTCGTATTACTAAATTACAAAAAAATTGAAAGTACCACTACTACATCATGTTTAGTAGTGCAGAATCGTGTCTGGGCATATGAGGATTTTGTTGATTTTAGGTTAGTAGGCTTCTTTTAAATTAGGAGCTTCCACTGCTCAAATAACGCGCTTCAGTTACTTCATAGAGTAGCCATATAACGGTATGACATAATAACAACAATCATAAACACTACATTGCTACACCTTGACGTGCTTGCACCGCACTAGTATATACATTGGGTAGCCTTAGTATTCCCATTGCATTTTCACCAATTAACTATTGGTTTTGATGCACTTGATTCTTTTTTTTTTTCTTTTTTATGCTTCTATTATATTTATTATATCGTTTGCAACTTTGCGTTGTGTAAGTAAAAGGATTTTAATGATCTTATAGCTTCTATATTGTATCTATAACATTTTTATTACACTAAATTTGCTTGTAGTATTAGAGTAAATGAAATGTATAGTACTATTATCGGGTATAATATGCTTGACATGAAGGCAGGTATAATATGCTTGACATGCAGGCATACTGGATGACCACCTAGGCAGCTTGGCTAGCATATGGGCTTTTACTAGAACCATACCCTGTGCTTGCCTTGGATATTTGACTACCATGTTTCCCTAAGCTGCATTTTGGCCTTAATATCCAGTTACTCAAGTTTCCTGGTCGTGAGCATCCATTAAATGAATCAAGATTTGCATATCATTGCATGGGGCACTCAAGGAAAACGAGATGAAGAAATAATTTTGATGGAGCAGTGCATAACCCTTTTCTATTCATTATTTAATCTGGCCACACATGCTTGATGCAACATCTCATACTTTTTTTTTTTTTTTACAAGGAAAACAGAGAAACACAACTAAGGAACAGGACTACACATCATATGCTGCGCATCTCAGGAAACTCAGGTGAATTCTTCTGGTTGTTACCCTCCAAATTTTTTTAGCAAGGTTGGCATAACTAGTACTTTGGTGACTGCCATACAACAAAGATCAAATTTTGTTTGAAAGTAAAAGGTCATACATGTTGGTTTCTCCAGACGCCAAGTCAATCTCATGATGTGTTTTAAATCATAGTTTTTCGTTTTTTTCAATGGTTTATCTTGGTATCATCAAATCAGATAATATGTTTTACAAAAGACATTTAGCATCTATAGTATTTTGAATTTAATGGTTTTTTCTCACATGTCATTTGTAAAGTTTGAGAAAGTTATTCTTTCATATTACATCATTAGCACTTAACAGGTTTGGCAATTTGTGGAAGATAGAATTGACATTTCAAGTAGTGCTTTATCAAAACAGAATATACATACACTGAAATCAGAACCCTATTCCTCCTGCTCTGCCTTGCCGTGCCAGTCCATAGATCCTCCCTGCAGACTGCAAATGAAAAAAAAAAGAAAATAAATTAGAATTGTTCAAAATAGAAGTAGATATGAACCTGAACACGCTTATCCATCTGTGATTGTATGTAATGTGACAGATATCAGCAACCGTTGTGAGGAAATTATCAAATGACTCAAGCTAAATGTTAGACTTTTGTACTCTTGTGGACATCCTGGTTGGAAGGGGTGCTTTAGTTAATTTCCAATGAAAGCATTATCATAACTTTTACATCAATCATTTTCAGTAATAGTTGTGAAGAGGAAATATGTCTTGCAAAAGCCACCAAGGGCTAGTTGGACTTTTTTTAGAACATAGACACATAAATATTTGGAAGAGCTTGCATTAGTGAATCAGTTAAGCTGATATTTTCTAGACCAATCCCCCTCTTTCATTACAGAATTTACCAAATCTCCATTCTAACAGTTTGTATCCCTATCGATAAGATCAATCACTCTTAAACTATGAGAATCATTAGGAATTTGAGAAAACAATTTAGAATTTTCTCAGTCTGATGTTCATCGATCTTCCCAAACATTCACCAAATTACCATTAATTACCCTCCAACACACTCCCCTTCAACAACTCCTTCCAACTTCAAGTCTCCACCAGCCAAATCATATGCTCACACAATTTGGGAGCACTTTTTTTTTTTTTTTTTTTTTTTTTAATTATGTGTTTTATTTAATTATTTATTTTTAAAAAAATAAAATTTCACTAAACGCGCTCAAAAGGGGAGCGTTCCCAAAGGAAACAAGAGCTATCCATGATGGCACTATTACTTTAAGCAATCCACAAAACCCAAAAAGCGATCCATAGATTTACAATTTCGCACCAAAAAATAAAGACAGTATACTGTATTTGAGAGACCAAACAGGAGACTCCTCTCACTCAAAGGATCTCTATTCATCTCACACCACAAACCCTACCATAAACAAAGGGGAGTGGCCCTCCAAGCACCTCTGACTCAGCTGTCCACTATATACATTTTCCAAGATTCTAGCATGTCCACCATGCATTCTTGAAAAACTAAAGCTAGACCAAAAGCAACCAAAACATAGACCAAACGTTCCTCTCCACCAAGTAATTAAGCAGAAGATGATTCACAGATTCACCCAACTTCTTACACATGCAACACCAGTTCACCACAATATGACCTCTCCTTCTAAGGTTGTCAAGGGTGAGGTTAATCCCCAGGGTAACAGAATAAGAGAAAAATGCCACGTTCAAGGGAGCTTTCATCCTCCAAATAGCTTTCCAAGGAAAAGTGGGGACCGGAAGATCCATAAGACTTTGATAGAAAGACTTAACCTCAAACCACCCTCTCGAGGTACCCACCCACACAATCTTGTCCATGCGCACACCATCCACCACCTGGCAATACAATAGACATGGTTTGGGGAACTTTATTTGAGAAGAAAAGCCTACTCCTTTCTCACGTTAATATCTTATATATATACACAAGAGTAAAGAAATAATGAAAAGACTATAACACCCCTGTGGGAACTAATTACAAGTGTCCTAATATAGATATTCTAATAGAAATCTGTAACCTCGAAACATCCTCAATCATGGAAAACTATACAAAACTGCACATTCTAAGTCACCCTCTCACATGTCTGTTCACAGAATTCCTGAAGAGACGAGGAAACCTACGAGCCAAAGCAAAGTCCCACACCATTTGTCCTCCCAAAACCTGACATGCCTTCCGCTCCTAACTTTGAAACTAATGTGTTTGGAGAACTCGTCCCAACCCCTAAGGATAAGTTTCCACGTACCCATTCCTGTTGGGATTCTTGCCTTCCATTATGTGTTTTGATTCAAAACTTTGGACTTAGGGCCTGAATTTTGGGTTTTTACTGAAAATTGCACAAATTGGGTGACGAAATTGAACTTATCTGAGTCTCTATCTTCATCTCTTGTACTATTTTAGGTTTGAGTTTAAAATTCTATGTTTTGAATCAAATGCTTTGAATCAGAGCATGAATTTAGATTTTTGCTGATCATTACATGATTTGGGTGAAGAAATTGAGATTTCTCTTTGGAGTGAGTCTGAGATTTGTTGGAGTTCAATTTTTCTTACTTTCTTTTTTACTTGTACTTTTGTTGGATTGAATTTAATTATTGGGGAATTGGGTTGGGGCTTAAACTGTTGAATGGATTTTGTATTTTGGACAATAGAGTTGCTCATTAAAATGACAAATTAACCTAAAATGTAGATTGGGAAACTTTGAAAGACATTCCCTATGTTTTATGTATGCAAAATAAAAATTGGATTGGAGTATTCAGTTTCTATTTAACTATTTGAAAAATTGAAGGAAAGATGTGTTCTTTCTCTTGGCGTGAAGCGATGGAGTTTTAGCCTCTGATAGCGAGTCTCATGTTTTGCAGTTTGGTTTGATTAAATATGATTAAAGTGAGATGGTGAAGTGATTGCTCTGATATTGGTTTGATAGAGTTTCAAAAATCACATGCCATAACAACCATCCTCGAATCCACCATTTTAAGTGTTAGATAGTTAGAGAGTTTGATTTGGCTCTGATTCCAAGTTAAAGATGGTGAGATGGTGTTTCTAGGGTTAGTGAGAGCAGAAGTGGAGAAGAAGAAGAGAAGAGAAATAATATAATCAAGGAATAGAAAGCTCAACTTGAGATTCTACACCACTCCAATGTTATATTGAAATAGCATGATTACAAAATAGCCCTTAAGCCCACAGTAAAGCCTATAGTACAATAAGACCCAAACTCTCTAACTATCTAACAATAAGTATAGCTATGATCTATTACCTTCATATTTGTTGGTCTATGTACTAGGGTTTTCACATTTAATGTCAAAATCCAATTTGAGCTATCTCATTTTAAGTTGTGAGCTCAATATGCATCATATCAGTATTTATAATCATAGTGTATGCTGCTAGTGTCTTTACATCAGTTCTGGTTTTGAAAAAAATGTTATTTTCATTTGTCAGAATAGAATGTCTGCTAGTGTCTAAACTGCATATATTTAGCTTCTCAGTGTTTAAACTTGTTCAGTAAAGCTTTCAGTAGTTATATGTGAGCTCATGTCAGCATGTATGCACTAACTGCCACTCAAGGGCATTTTTGTAAATGTGTAGGTATCTCAGGTGCTATTCACGTGCCCTGTCAGCTCACACAATCCCAGAAGGTTCCTCAGGTTAAACAATTGTCTCAGCAGCCCTTAGCTCAGGTGCTGCAGTTTTTGAAATCTGAGGGTAAACATGCCTTTTATAGAAGGGCAGCTGGGTGAAGGGTAGTGTGATCATTTAATGCCTACAATGGTCTGATTATCCTCTGCATCAGCATTTGGTCTATAAATTGTATTTGCTGCTGCAGAGAGTTATGTGTATTGAATTTTGAAATTCTAAAAGAAGCTTAAGGAGTGATTGCATCTTTACCGTGTTGCGAGCATTTCTAAAATTCTGGAGAGCTTATTGAAGATACGACAATGCCAAAATACATTGTTGATAATGAGGATTGAAGCTCAGCAGAAAATACTGTGCTAAGCTGCAGATTTTTGTCACAGCTGCTATCAAGACCATGAGGTGAAATCTTTCTTCATATCTGATCTTTTGAGTCAATTTCTGGGCTAAGCAAGTCACAAATCTCATTCTAAGCCTAGTCTGGGGCTACACCAGTAAAAGCTAAGGCTGCATCAAAATCTCACCTAGTAAACCTAGCCATTAGTGTCTATTTGTTGCTATTAAGTCTCAGATGAAGCTGTCAAGTGTTCCACATACAAATCTGAGTCCCATCTTGACGTGAACATGTGTAAATCATCAATGCATAGCTGTTCAAGCCATCATCAAGAAGCAACTGAGGCTGTCTCATGTTCTCACTACTCAAACGTCAGACTGCAGTAACAGCAGCTGCAGTAAGTGTTGCTGCTCTAACCCTTCAAGCTAGTTGTATTGTGAATCTTATCTCAATCTGCTTGAGTGCTTCATTTATCTTTCTTAGTTGATATTGTGAGTGAAAGTTTAATCACTGGGGTGCTGTGAGTGAAAGTGTATGTGTGGTGCTCAACTTTACTCACAGTGGAATTTTGAGCTAGGCTTTAATGCCTCAAGGATGTTTCACTCACACTCAAACAGATATCCTTCACTCACATGAGAAGTTGGGAGGACGATACCACATGGGTTGGAGAATGAAATATTTCAGAAATATGTTAGAAGATTGCAGTTTGGTGGATCTCGGTTTCATGGGGTTCCCACATACATGGTTTAACGAACGTGATGAGGCAGTTCATATAAAAGAGAGGTTAGACTGGGTGTTGGCTACAAAAGAGTGGAGATGGAAGTTTCAAAATGGGTGATTCATCATATTCAAGTTGTGGGATCTGATCACTATGCGTTAATGATGGATCTTGATCATGTTGTACAAAAAAGAAAGGGTGTTTCCATTTTGATGCAAGGTAGTTACAAGATGAACAAGAAATCAGAGTTACTACGGAAAGAATAAGAAGCACGCAGCAAACAATTTTGATCTCTCTTACAAGTTTTAAAAATTCAATGGTATCCAATAGAATGTATTAGACTCCACCTATGTGTAAAAATCCATACAAACTCTCATTGGGGGCATAAAGCAATATTTATGTAATGAAATCTCCGACTGTAAAGCTATTGTTGCAAAGTACACAACATTTCCCTTCTTAGTGTTAACATGTTCCATCAAAAGAGGGGGAAAAGACAGTACTCGTAAATGAAACTTCTTCACTCTGCATCGAGGTATACAGAGTGTTCTTAAAAGTTGCTAAATAATAATATAAGTATAATGACAATACTAGTAATGTATCCCACACATTTTAATCCCTCGACATTTGATCATATTATTTAACCACCGGTCCACCACAAAAGGGCCAGTTAAATAATCGCAAATTAAAACATGCAAGTATATTTGAATTACTGAAAAGAAAATGATTTCCATATACTAGTCAAGATTTGGTGCACACCCCATACATAAGGATACACAGAGCCAAAAAAAACAAAAACAAAGAAAAAAGAAAAGAATAAAAAAAACGGGGGCCAAATCAACAATTTTGACCTCAAGCAATATGCTGCATGTTACAAATATGGAGTAAGACAAACAAAAGGATGAATGGATTTAGCCCCAAAGTCAATTTAATTCCACTAAGCAGCAAACTATAATAATTAATACATGAGAATACATTAGAACATCCTAGATTTAGCGCCAATGGGTGAGAGCAAGGTTTAAGACCAAAAAGAAGAGACTAAAGTTTTATCTGAAATCTAATGAAGCTTGGATTCTGATGTTTGAAAATACAAATCAAGAAACTATCTTCAAACTAAAATGTTAGAGAAATTCCAAAAATTGATGTTTTGCTTTGTTCTTTACCTTCAGGCTATGTTCGGCTGCATGGAATTGGAATTGGTCGAATTGGAGAAAAGCAACCCAAAAAATTGAACCAAAATTTCTTCCAATTCCACAAATTCCAAAACCAAGGCTCCGATTCCATGAAGCCGAACATAGCCTCAAGAAACTTACTTGAAATTATAAAACGCAAAATGACTTAGTAGACAACTTCCATCATCTGCTAAGACCGTTGATCAGCATGATGCAATTACATGCCATAAAGTTGCATTGATAGAACTGACTTACTAGACAACTTTAATTTTCATACCAGTATATATATAAAGGCATACTTGAAGCAATCATTATCAATAGCAAATAGAACCAAGTGCCCTTAAAGATCAAGGACTGCCTTCAGACAAGAGAATTGTCCAAAACATATTCCACTAGTAATATTCAATGCAAATCAGCCACAGGGAAGTTTCCAAAAATGAGAGTATAAAAAAATTCAAAAAAACAGAAAATTAGGGACTATGAAGTTTACACAATCAAAACATCCAAATTTTACAGTTAACGGCGGAAAATTAGGGATTAAACATACAGTGTAATCGAAGAATCTTGCGTGTGCAGCCAGTCGGATCTTCTTCCTCTCTCTCCACGGAACATGATCGAAGCAAGAAATCAGAATCCCAACTGGATAGTCTTCCAAGATGTAATCAATCTCCCTTGCACTGCTAACTCGGAATTCGTCAGCATAGCCCTCCGCAAAACAAGTCGGTCGAATCCTATCACCACTTATAATCTGAAGAAATCGCGCCTCGGACGCCAGACCTTCCCTGCGAGCTTCAAGATATTGGTTGTAAACTGAGCGTCTGAGCTCCCTATTGGCGCTGATCTTTTTCCTCCTGAGATCGAACGAGCGAAGATTCCTCAACATTCTGCAATAGCCGGTGCCGGCAGCGGCGGTGTGTCGCCCGAAGGTCAACAATTGGCGCCGTACAGTCACCATTTCGCCCTCTCTCAAAAACGCAAGAACCCTCTCTCTCTCTAACCCAGTCTCTCTCCCTACAACTATCAAATTGAAATCTCTAACCCAGTCTCTCTCTCTCTACAACTATCAAATTGAAATTGAAATTGAAATTGGCGCCATAATGATCCTCGGGTTATATTTATGAAAAAAAATCCTCGGTTCTATTTATGGAAAAAAATACTCCAGAAATTTACCCATTATATTTTATTTTACCACGTAAGTACCACCACCCCATACATTTAGGGAAATTTAGATCTTGCTAACCAATTATTACTGTAATTTAAAAAAACGTTGAATATAATTAACAAATCTCCATGCAATAGATAATACCAAGATAAATCACACTAATATTGAAATTTCATCTATTGAAAGTTTCATTCTAACAAAAATCACTAATGGCTATTATCAATTAATTACGTTCTGCATAGCTCTGAGTCAAAATTCTATTTCACAAAAGTGAGATAGTTATTTTGGTTTTAGGTTTAATTTGTCCAGAGTCGCGTATAAAGTATATGCTAAGTATTGTATAATTAGAAAAATTGGAAAGATGCCATTGCTACATTTGAAGGTGACACTGTGAGCCGGGTAATTTAGGAAATAAATCGCAATGATTACTTCTTTGCAATTAAAATTTAATTTTAGTCACTTTTCATTTTTTTTTTTTCTTTATGGTAACGTTACATCAATTTTATTTAGGATTGTTCACTAAAACCTAATTTTTCTTATACCATACATAAATTATATGTATAAATTAAAAACTTGATAAATACAAATTTTAACTTAATTGCGAAGTTAGTTTTTTTTTACCCTTTCACCCAAAAGTGAGAGAGAATATTTTTTTTCCTTTATTTAGAGGTAGCAATTGAGTAGGTTTAGAAGGGTTTTGGATCCATCGTGAATGGACGAGTTATTAATGGGTCAATAACCCATTATCAATTCATTTATGAAAAAAGTTTGAATTTTCAATAGACTAGTTAACAAACACCCAACCCAATTACTCAAATATTTTTATATATAAATTGTCAAATTATTTTAATTGTTGAATACTAAAAAAGATATAAAAAAATGTTTTATATTAAATTTATTAATTTTTTGGTCTCACTTATTATAAAAAAAAAATTCTTTTATTTTAATTATTATTTATTTAATTATTTTTATTTCTTATTTAGAAAAAGTCACTATACAACTTACTTTGAGAGTCATCACGACCCAAAAAATAATAATAATAAAGAGATAAGAGAAAACGGAGGAAAGATAAATGGGGAGAAATAGGGGAAGAGAGAATAGAAGGAAAGATAAAAAAAAGAGAGAAGCAATAAAATAAGATAGTTATCACAGGAAAAAAAAAATTAAAAAGAAAATTAGGGATCATTTGGTAATGTTTCTAAAGTTTCTGTTTCATGTTTTTTTATTTTCAAAAGGCCAAAAAATATAAATAAGTAAGATAAATATGTTTGATAACCTTATTTTATTTTTTTTATTTTGGAAACATGTTATCGAAAAGTCCAATTTTTAAGAACAAAAAAAAGTTATTTTCACTTGTTCCCAACCAAAACACGAGAACATATTCTTAACTTATTTCTAATTTATGCACCATATTCATATATATCTCTCCTCGTTCTATTCTCTCTCTTCTTCTTCTTTATGATCTCTGCGTGAGACCCGCCGTCTCTGCAACAAAGCACAACTCATGCATGATAGAATACTATATGTCCTACGTATTGAAATTGCAAAAACTTATAAAGCCAATAAATCCCTAATCGGTTTCGATTCTCAGGAATTGTTACTCCTTATAATCTCGATATATATATATATATATATATATATATATATATAGGTACAGATATGTAGAGGGGTTGATGTTTACATTTCTTGGAAGTAGGTGAATTTGGGTTTCTCTTTAAATTGGTTCCACTTCGTTACTTTGTCTTATTTTCATCATTCATCACTCATGTAATGTTTGTGATTTTTCATATTTTTCATTTTCAGGAATTTTTCGATTTTTGGAATTTTTCTTTATTGTACCTCGCATGTTGGATACCGTAGGGTGTGTCCGGTGAGTCTTGAGGGTTGGTTGGGACATTTCTTTAAGTTCAGGACTCTTATAAATACATCGTTAGCTATTTCGGCATTTTTCAGTTTTTCAGACCGGGAGGCCTGAGACCTGCACCCGGATTTTTCGTGCACGAGATTATTTTTCAGTATCATTACACTTTATATTTATTTATTTGATGCATGTTTGAGTGGCTACGTGGAGCCACCACCCTCAAGTCATCTTTGCCAGCATTGTTAGCCATGTTTTGGTTGGAAGGTTTTCCTAACAATTTATAATTCTTTTTAAGTTTTTTAAGTTGCTTAAGAGTTTTTTCAATTTCTGGGTCATGCTCAATCAAAGGGAATGACTGGAAACGACGACCTAACATGTACTAAGTTCAATGGCAAGGAAGAAAAGAAATAAAAATAAAATTCCAAGTAAAAAAATAAAACCATAAGAACTCACAAAAGGTCCCGAAACTGTAACTTCTTTTCCTTAAGCTTCTCCGCTCTTGCACCTAAATTATTGCACTTGAAAAGACAAAAAATAAAAAATAAAAAAAAAATAAGATGAGGAGATAGAAAGTCCTAAAGTACAAATTAAACTAGAACTAATTTTTAACTCAACTATAACTGTTACATAATCCCCGACAACGGCGCAAAAAATTGATGTGTGTAGTATCAATGATAAAAATCACTCGCAATAGAACGAATCCTTATAGGATAGAGTTACATTGAAGGTGTTGAACCTCAAGGACTGTGGTGGATTGTCAAATATAAAATTAATCATAATCTAATTCAAAAGATGATTTTGTTGTTTGATTAAATCTAAATTGTATTAAAACTGAAAATTAAACTAAATTAACAAAAGAAAAGATCAAAGCGAGAAGAACTTAGGGATTGACTTCACCATTAGCCTCATAACATGGTCAATTGCTTCAACTATGGGGAAATTCAAAATTATGTATATTCGGAAACCAAGTGACTACAAGCACACTTTAATTCAATTAAGAAGGCATATATGGATAAATACTAAATCATAACTCATCTTCGGTTGGCACGAATTGTTTACCTAACTACTCTAATCTAAGGTGCAGTACAACTAATCTTCTCTAGGAATGAATTATCAAAACATTCATTCATACATATTCAATTAAGCATGATTGCATGATCATTACTTAAACCGTTAAGAGAAGCCCTTAGCCACCAATCTCTCACAATAAAAATAGTTTGAATTTGATTAAAGTAAAATTAATTCTAAGATAAGAGATCAATTTCATCAAAAACCAATTATTTTCATAAAAACCCAATTACTTAGTACAACTGAGTCAATTGCTCAAAATCATGTAATTAATATACATATAAAAATTCTAAAAGTTAAGAACAATCAAACATGCTACTTGGATTAGGGTTACATCAATTCCCTTAGGAATGCTTTAGCTACTCATAGAGAAGAAGGATGTCATCATTGTTGGTGTAGAAGCTCCATGGACTGCTAATTGGAATCTTCAATCTTCAAAACCCTAAAAGTCGCCACAAGGTAAGAGAGATAGATAAGAGAGAGAAGAAGAGAGATCCAATGTGTTTTCTTATCTTCTTTTCTAGTGGAGAACAAGTCCTAATTAGGAGTGGCAACGGGGGCGAGTTTGGACGGATGTATACTCCCCCGCCACCGCAACCATTTAAAAACCCCACCCCCTTCCCCACTCAAACTGCAAAATGGGAAGACTTTCCACACCATCCCCGCCCTCATTTAACATCTTTACCCATGCGGGTACCCGCCCCGCCCCGTTTAAGACCAAAAATTCTCCTCCATTTACTTTTTTTTATCAACTAAAATTATATCATTATTGAAAAGTTTCACAAATAACAAAAAAAAAAAAAAGAGATAATAAATAGTTTAACATAAAATTCAACATTAAAAACATTCTATAATAGCAATTTCAGAAAAGTATTAATATACCAAAACCAGACAAGCCAAATTACATTATTCCCCGTTTACAGATATAATGAAATAAGGGTACTTAAGTAATTTATCTATCTAAACGGGTGGGACGGGGCGGGGCGGGGCGGGGCGGGGCGGCAGCACAGAACCCGTGCAGGTTTTCATTACATTAAACTATCCCCACCCAAATAAGCTAAATATTCCCCCAAAAGCGCCAAAAACAGGGCGGGGCAAATTGTCATTCCTTGTCCTAATCCTCTTTGGATTGGTTTTACAGCTCTAGAGCCATCTAGGCCCATCTGGAACCAAAAAGGAGTGTTTCCCGCATGTATTTTTAAGTTCCAGGATGATAGTGCTCGAGCATAGTCTCAGCACTTAGTTTTCTTTTAGCAAATTGATTTGAAGTTTTAACGATATTTTGACATATTTAGAGTACGAATCTCAAAATTGCTATTAGAGACAAAAATATTGGGCTTCAAGTCTTCTTTTCATAGGCTCTGAGTTTTCTTAATTTGGAGTTTCGAATGAAAAGTTATCCCCAAAATACTCAACTAGGTCCAGAATTTTCATCAGTGCTCGAGCTCTGAGAGGTTATGCTTGAGCACAAAGTTTTGTGCTCGAGCTCTGTAATACCCTTAATTTTAAAATGATAGTCTCGACATTTTAGTTAATTGTTTTATTGCATTTTATTTGTTTATTTGCCTATTTGTTTAATTGTTTTATTTAATTGAATTATTTGTTTACTTGTTTTTTTGTTTTTATTTAATTGAATTATGTGTTTAATTATTTTTATTTAATTGACCATTTGTTTTAATTATTTTCTTTCATTCCTGTATGCTTATGTGGAAGTTTAATTATTTCTTATGTAGGAGTTTAATTATTTGTTTGCAATAATTGTTTAATTAGGGTTTTATGTTCTTTTAGGTAATCATGTTTTTGGTATAGCCGACTTAATTATAGAGTTAATTGTTTTTCTTTTCCTTCTCTGAACATAATTAGAATTAGGGTTTGTGTTTTTCCTAAGCCTATAAATATAACAATACGTCTGTCTAGGGTTGGAAAACTATATTCACGTATAGAGAGACTTGAGAGGAAAATAGAGAGAGACTT